ACACACACACACACACACACACACACACACACACACACACACACACACAGACGCGTGCGCGTGCACCGGCGATGGCGCCAAGAAGACGCGTGAAATACCTACCATTTTCGAATTAGGAGTACTGCCGCCACTTCTCAAGGGCATCATAGAAAGATGTGTGCCCCTCGTGAGGGCATTTCAAGGACGGACCGACGAAATGCAACCAGCGGCCCAGTAAGGGCATATCGGAAAGTTACACCCCGTGCTGACAGGGGCCTGCGGAAAAGTTCAGAGGCCCGAGGGGCATAACAGGGTAAGTCGGCCTACACAGGGGCACGCCGCAAATAAACTCAAACTTCAGGGGCATTTAGAAAATTTTCCCTTTTTATTTTTTATGTTGCATTGGAACACACACACACACACACACACACACACACACACACACACACACACACACACACACACACATTGGAACACAGGACTGCAAGATCTGCTTCGCCGGCGCCATCGAAAGCTTCACCTACGCACACACAATCCACAAACAGCCCAGGCGTCAGGCCCTCTTCAACACTCTTCAAAGGAAACAGCGTCCGCCCCTCAAACCCTCCTCCCCGCCATCCCCCTCCAACCCCCAGTCTAAACACTACCTTCGATCAAAGCACCCAATCAAAGTACTGCCAGCAACGGCAGGCCCATAATTGAAAAGGCAGAAGAAAAACAACATCACACTTGTCCAATGAAAAGGAAGAGAGAGAGAGAGAGAGAGAGAGAGAGAGAGAGGTCCTTTGAGACTTCCGTTCAAAATTAAAATTGGAACGGTACAGAGAAGATTAACAAGGCCCCTGCACGACGATGACACCCTTCAATTGAGATATCGACCATATCTCTATACATATAAAGGAAAACGCGGGTGACGGTCCCGCGCGAGACCCGGTTCCCTGGTGTGGGACTCGTGGCAGGCCCAAGGGCGGACTGCATGCCGGTTCGGTGAGGCCGGGGGGTCGAGTCGGGTTGCCTGCACGGCCGTTTTTTCTTTTGGGTTGGTGTTGGCGCGGCGCGGTTTGTTTTCGTGGTTGGTGTTGGCGGGCTTTATGAACAGGGTCTTTATTCGCTGCAGGTTTGTTTTGCGCGGCGCCGTGATTGCAGGTGTCGGGCATATTCAACCAGGTAGTGTATATCTCCATTTTCTAGCGCAAGATTCATCGATTTGAAGATTCATTCCATTTGCCTCATCCTATCGGTGGAAGTAGCATGAATCCAGCCGCGAGGTTGGAGACTTATCTGCTCTCTCTCTCTCTCTCTCTCTCTCTCTCTCTCTCTCTCTCTCTCTCTCTCTCTCTCTCTCTCTCTCTCTCTCTC